ATTCTTACCATTTTTTCAATGTCTTTTAATTCATAAAATAACATCAGTTTGACGCGAATCAAAGCTTCATCTTTAGTTCGAACATCTTCTACCTATCGGAATATAAAATAAATTGTCATTGTTAATGACACAGACCCCGCCCAAAATTTTGTGATCTGACATATCAATTTGATGCTGATGAAGTCAATGAGATTAGATTGAAACCATTAATAGGAGATGGATTTGTAAAAAATTATGATTTAGTGCTTTTACACGAGAATTGAACATTGGGCAGTCATTTTAAATCAAATTACAAAAATAATGTTCATGTTGATGTATCTATTGGTATACTGTCTTTGTACAAAATTTGAACAGAAATGTTCATTGCATTCATGGGAAAGTAGGCATGGGTACCATGAAAAACAAAATGGCCACCAGTCCACCATATTAGTTTGAATCACAGAAAAAATATGACATGCAACTATAACCTAATATGTATGATCATCATACCAACTTTGATCCAAATTGGCCTAGTCATCTCTGAGAAACAGCCTCGAACATGTAAAAAAAAGATGATTTAACGCTTTTACAGGCAATTTGGGTGTCGGTCAGCCATATTGAATCGAATCACAAAAATAATGTTGGTACTAATGTATCCCTTGGTATTCTATCTTTGTACAAAAATTAAAGAGAAACGTTCATTGCATTCAAGAGAAAGTAGCATGGGTACCATAAAAAACAAAATGGTCGCCAGTTGGCCATATTTGTTCGAATCATGGAAAAAATATGACATGCACCTATAACCAAATATGTATGATCATCATACCAACTTTGATCCAAATCAACCTAGTCATCTCTGTGAAACAGCTCCAGACATGTAAAAATGACGATTTAGCACTTTTACATGAAATTTGGGCGTCAGTCAGCCATATTGAATCGAATCACAAAAATAATGATGGTGTAGTTGTATCTCTTGGTATACTATCTTTGTACAAAATTTAAACAAACATTCATGACATTCAAGAGAAAGTAGCATGGGTACCATGAAAAACAAAATGGCCGCCAGTCGACCATATTTGTTTGAATCACGGAAAAAGTATGACGTGCACCTATAACCAGATATGTATAATCTTCATACCAAGTTTGATCCAAATCGGCCCAGTCATTTCTGAGAAACAACTCTGGACATGTAAAAATGACGATTTAGCGCTTTTACATGAAAATTGGGCATCGACCAGCCATATTGAATTGAATCACAAAAATCATGTTGATGCAGATGTATCTCTTGGTATACTATCTATACAAAACACCCCAAAAATCTTTAAAAAAAGTAATTAATAACCACAAATTTAACCCTAAACTAGACAAGTATATGGGTTATCCCAGAGCATCTATGTACCATTTAGTTTCATTGAAATCTGATTTGAAACCATTAACATAGCCTAGACCATGATAATTTCCAGTTTTGTTGACATTTTAATTGTCTATACTTAGTGTGTATATGCAGATAAAAAACTGTGTCACCACCATTTAGAAAATACTTGGAGTGCATTCTGGGTAATGATGATGAAACCCCCTTAACACATGTGCATTGACAAATTGAAGAAAGATCAAATTTTACAAAATCACAAGTTTCAGAGATAATCAAAAAATACAAATTACAATATTCATCAAACAGAATCCACTTATACATACGTTGTAATAAAACTGATCCGGAATTATTCTCAATTTTGTGAAGTTCCGGGCACCTGGCACTTTACGAAATTTATTATCAGGGTCATCGGGATGGTTTCGTTTTCCAATTTCTTCTTTTGTATACTGATCCGTCAAATTGACAACATCGGGTCCTTCGCTGCCATGCCAACTAAAATTATGTATCCTTATCAGAAGAAAAAAACATTAAGTATGAGTCGTATTATTAGGATCAATTCAGCCTGAGCTATATGGACAAAATATTTTAAATTTTTAACCTTGAAGCAGTATGCCATAAGATTATTCATGAACCCCAAAAATTTAGCTCACTCCTAAAGCTGTCATATTTAAAAATGCACTGGCTGTTTATTTTTGTATTATATACACTGTTTACGTCATATGGGTCCCATATCGGACATAACGAGTCATAATGACCACAACTCTTCAATGATTAAATATAATTTATTAAAATTGTCTAATTTTTGCGTTTTTGGAACTTTCGTCATTTTCATGTTTTCATAACTACCGTATAAACATCACTAAAAGCATTCTCACCTATATATT